CAGCACAGAGCCCGACGCGGGGCTCGAACCCACGAACCGCGAGATCATGACCTAAGCGAAAGTCGGACGCTTAACCGACTAAGCCACCCAGGCGCCCCTAAAAAAAATTTTTTTTTAAATCTCTATATATTTTTGAGAGAGACAGAGACAGAGACAGAGGATGAGCAGGGGAGGGGCAGGGAGAGAGAGGGAGACACAGAATACAAGCAGGCTCCAAGCTTCGAGCTGTCAGCACAGAGCCTGACGCTGGGCTCGAACTCACAAACCGCACGATCACGACCTAAGCCAAAGTCGGACGTTTAACCAACTGAGTCACCCAGGCGCCCCACCTTCTGGGTCCTATCTTGCTGGCTTTAGTACATTTGCCACCACTGGAGGGCCCCATAGCAGGTGCAGTGCCAGCCGACTGACAGGCAGATTTAGGAAAAACTAGGGAAAGCTTATTGGAGGACCAGCATGTGGGGCTTGTACTTTCTAGGGACCATCTTGCGGGTCATTCTGTGGCTGGCAGCTGGTGGGGCAGGAAGAGAACCCCTGTTGTTCTAGAAAAGGGTGCCGGAACAGACAGGGAACCCGCTGAGCAGAAGGTGTGGGTTTCAGCCTCTGCTTGCCCGCAGGTGGAGGAACCAGTGAGAGGCCCTCTCGTGCCCCTGCTGACTGGCGAACTCCATCCCGGGCACAATCCGCAAACACTCGCTCTGCGGGTGCCTTCCCAGTAAACAGCCCGGTCCGTCCTCCTCTGTCTCAGGGCTCTGCAGAGAGAGTCTCTAGCCGTGGGCTCTGCTCACCCCACATCCGCAGTGGGGCACGGCGGCCGGACGGGGGGCTAGGGAATCAGCTGTCTCCGAGAGAAACAGGCGCCTCATGAGCTAGAGAACACCAGCTCTCAGTCCTTTCCCCCCTGATGCGGCGTTTCTGTTCCGTTTCAGCACTGGCAGTTGCCGCTGGGCCGAAGGTTTCGCTCTTTGAAGATGTGGTTTGTTTTCAGGATGTACGGCATCAAGGGACTGCAGGCGTACATCCGCAAGGTGACTATGCTTTCATTACTTATCTGGGGAATGTCAGGGACGCCTTAGTCTTCAGAAATGAAGGATGATGGCTTAATGAGCAAATACTACATGATAGAGGTTGGTTTGGGCTGCTGAGGGTTGGCCATTTAGAAGATGGCCAGTGCATGATCACGGACCTTCTGGATGCTTCCATGAAGACTACAGGCCATCGGGCCGAGAGAACTGCAAAGGGAAGACAACACATCTCACCTGTGGCAGGTCCGGCCAACAATGGCGGCACGGACACGAGAACACAGTACGTTTCCCCCCAAACACAGCCAGCATGGGAGAATCTTAAAGCTTCTGGGAACTCATGGGCTCAGGCCCAGGGCTTCTCAGCACGTCCCCGACCAGCAGCACAGGCCTGGCCTTGTCCTCTCGGGTGGGGGCCCCAGCAATCTCTGTTGTAAGTGAACCAGGCAGCCATGATGGGCTCTACAATGTGAGCACAACTGGTCTACCTTCAGGCCCATCACCCTGCCATTTTTATTTTAAACAACTGAAGAAATGGAGGCCAGAGTATGTGCTGGGACTCCCCCAAGGCCCGCCCACTAGTGGGCTGCACAGGGCTGCCGATTCCCAGCTGGTCCCTCCCAGGCTGGCGCCCTTCCTCAGCCACAGGGCCATCTTGCTGGACAGAGGGCCTCGGGCTTCCTGGAGGCAGGGATGCCTGTGGTCTCTGACTGGTGACAGTGACGATTTAAGTCCCGGCGCCACAGCTCAGTCTGTTGTGTGGCTGTGGGCAGCACAAAGTGGCTGCGGGCAGCACACAGTGGCTGCGGGCTCTGCCTCTGTGCGGGGCACGTGGCCTGGGGAACGCCACACACACTGGCATCAGTCTATGGGACAGGGCTGCCGTGAGGGCCCGTAGGAGCTGGCATCCTCCAGGAGGGCCTCTGGGGCAAGGAACTAGGAAAGGAGTGTCTGTGTGTGAGTTTATGGGTGCAAGATGCCCCTCCCCATGCGAGAACACGCCCTCAAATATACTAAGGATTCAACTTCTTTGACAAAAATTGAGTGGCTTCTGTCACCATAGCTTAAGGCTCAGGAGCCCCTGGGTGTGATTAAGCTGCTTCTTATAAAAACACTCCATGTCTCATATATTTGTGGGTCCATTTCTGGGTTCTCTGTTCGATTCCATTGACCTCAGTGTCTGTCTGTGCACCAGCACCACACTGTCTTGATGATTACGGCTTTGTAATACAGGCTAACGTCCGGGATTGTGATGCCTCCAGCTTTGGTTTTCTTTTTCCACATTACTTTGGTTATTCAGGGACCTTTCTGGTTCCATACACACATTAGGGTTGTTTTCGACCTCTGAAGAATTCCAGTGCTATTTCGATAGGGATAGCATTGAATATGTGGATTGGTTTGGGTAGTATCGACATTTTAACGATGTTTGTTCTTCGAGTCCATGAGCATGGAATGATTTTCTGTTACTTTGTGTCTTCTTCAGTGTCTTTCATAAGCTTTCTATAGTTTTCAAAGTACAGGTCTTTTATATCTTTGGTTAGGTATTTCCTAGGTATTTTATGATTTCTTGATGCAACTGTGGATGGGATCGATTGCCTGATCTTTCTGCTGCTTCACTATTAGTGTATAGAAATGCAAGTGACTTCTGTATGTTGATTTCATATCCTGTGACTTTGCTGAATTCATGTGTCAGTTCTAGCAGCTTTTGGGTGGAGTCATTTGGATTTTCCATGTAGAGTGTCATGTCATCTGCGAAGAGTGAAAGCGTGACTTTTTCCTTGCCAGTTTGGATGCCTTCTATTGCATTTTGTTGTCTGATTGCTGAGGCTAGGATTTCCAGCACTATGCTGAATAACAGCCGTGAGAGTGGACATCCCTGTTGTGTTCCTGATCTCAGGGGGAAAGCTAATATCAAGCTGTGGGTCTTTCACACATGGTTTTTATGATGTTCGGGTATGTTCCTTCTGTCCTGACTTTCTTGAGGGTTTTTATTAAGACAGGATGTTGTATTTTGTCAAATACTGTTTCTGCATCTATTGACAGGATTCTTATCCTTTCTTCTAGGCATGTGATGTATCACATTGATGGATGGGCGAATATTGAGCCCAGGAATGAATCCCAAACTGAGAGTTGATGGGGGTGGGGAAAGTGGGTGATGGGCATTAAGGAGGGCCCCTGTTGGCATGAGCACCGGGTGTCGTGTGTAAGGCATGAGTCACTGGGTTCTACTCCTGAAGCCCAGACTACAATGTGTGTTAACTAACTTGAGAATATAAACAAATAAGTAAATAAATAAATGCCGAATATGACAAAAACAACAACAACAAAAAACAGCAAAAACCAGTCCATGCCTCGCCCCGAGAGGGCTCCCATCTGGCCTTTCAGGAAGGGACGGGACTGTCCCGAGGCAGGTGGAGAGCTCCTTGGGGACCCATCTGCAGAGAACAGACCCGCCAGCACGAAGTCTTTGGCGCCCTCTAGTGGCACCACATTTATTACGGGACCGGGAGCCGCACAGTCCAATGAGGCTTCGGTCCCAACTATACTCCCCAGAAGGGCTTCTACTCAGAGTCCCGCCCCCCCCCCAACCTACGTGAGAGCACCAAGCACCTAGCCCTGAGCACCAAGATGGGCGCCCGGGTCTGCAAGAAGCAACACACGCTCTGTGCGAGCTTGTTCCCTGTTTGCATCCCCCCTTTTGAGCTCCAGGAACCTCTAGAAGTCAAATAAGGTGGGAATTCAGCGAGAGGGAGGCATTTGTCACATGTGATGGGGACTGTCATTCCTTCCGCTTGGTGGCAAGCGCTGTTGGATAACAGCCAACCCTGGCACCGCAGAACTGAAGCTTCGGGGACGGGCAGCTGCGTTACCATCATGCCCTCAGTTTCCTTACCTGAAAAGTGGGCATAACCGTGGCAGCGCCTATGCGGTGGGCTGCATGGGGACAGGAAGGCGGGGCCCTCAACCCTCAGCACCAAAGTCTTCTCAGTAGGGCTACCTACTCGGTCTTTACCAGGATGTTTAAATAGGATTTAAGATTATAACTGATTGTTTTGGTGAGATTAAAATAGCCCTCTGAGGGGCACCTGGGTGCCTCAGTCGGCCCACCATCCGATTTTTTATTTCAGCTCCGGTGTTGATTCCAGGGTCATGAGTTTGAGTCCCATTGAGCATGCAGGCTGCTTGGGATTCTCTCTCTACTTCTCTATCTACCCCTCCCATGCTTGCTCTCTCTCTCTCTCTCTCTCTCTGTCTAAAACAAAACAAAACAAAAACTAAAATAAAAAAAAGTCCCCTGAACAAAAGAAAATGGCTGTTGGTGTTTTTCTAAAGACACTAGTCCTTCCCTCCTGGTAATGGGACTTTTTTCCCTAACGGCTGCCGTGTGGGCGACATAAAGGCTTGAAGAAAAGGGTGGAGAGCACGTAGATGAATTATGCATGTGCCATCTGATGAGGTTTTCTAGGTGGTGAAGTCCTGAGCTGAGTGGCGGTGAGGCACTCAGACAGATGTCCTTCCCTTTCCAGCACGTCCAGCTGGCCCACGAGTTTGAACGTCTGCTGCACCAGGACCCTCGCTTTGAAATCTGTGCGGAAGTCACTCTGGGGCTGGTCTGCTTTCGGCTGAAGGTACGTTTGTCTCCTTTAGTCTCCTTCATGGTCTTTGACGGTGACCAACCAGAGAGGATCGCTGGTGGCCTCCAAGCACAAAACGATGAGCTCCCCAGAAACGACGGAGCTCAGCATGCACTTTCCAGTGTTTGCCGTTCGCCCCTCCGGGCCCTGCCCCGGCCTGACTGCAGCCTGACTGCCCCCTGGGTTCCAGGCACTCCCTCTGTCCGCCCCTCGTCCAGTGGACTGAGCCTTCTTGTCTGTGTAGACCCTCGGCCCTAAGTACCCTCCACTTTCCCCATGCGTGTACCTCTGCCGCTGGAATGCTCTGGGCGCTGGCCTGTGCACGCACTCACTGCCCTGAGTGTCGTCCCCGGATCAGCTCAGGCTGCAGCCCAGGGCTGCAGACCCTGCATCTTAACCAGCCCCCGCGGGCTCTGGTGCACACGGCCAGGTGAGATGTGCTGGGCGCCCTGTCGCTCCACCGCCTGCCGCCGAGTGTGTTCACGTGGGAGGGGAAGCTGGCCCAGAGCACGGAGGGCACGAGCCATCTCGGCTGGGAATCGTGACCACATGTCTCCCAAGGACCTGAAAAGGGCTGCACACCCAGGTGCCTTATTAATCCAGTTTGTGAGACTGAGGCTGGATGGCGGCCTCACCTGACAACTCTCGGGCCAGCCATGCATTCCAGAATCTACTTTTCCCACTGGCCTCCTGGTTCACATGCATGGAGGCCACTGGGAAAAGTAGGGCTGGGCGCAGCTGCACTGTCCATGTGCTGTGATCACAAGGTGGCCCTCGGCAACTGTATCCCCCCGTCACTGATGCTCAGAGCCTCCGGGTGGCAATGAGAACCAGCCGCTGAGAAAACCTGGACTCTACACAGATACTGGGGTGCTGGTGTTCTGGTGCAGGGTTCAGCACAGGACTCTGTGCAGAGTGCCAAGTGGGGAGACCCCACAGGGGCCTGGGGGGCTCAGTCAGTTGAGCATCTGACTTTGGCTCAGGTCATGATCTTGTGTTCGTGAGTTCGAGCCCTGTGTCGGGCTCTGTGCTGACAGCTCAGAGCCTGGAGCCTGCTTCGGATTCTGTGTCTCCCTCTCTCTCTACCGCCCTTGCTCATGCTTTGTCTCTCTCTGTTTCTCAAGAATGAATAAATGTTAAAAAAAATATTTAAAAAATTAAGAAAATAGAAACAAAGTGGGGAGACCCTAAAGAAAGCGTGCAGAGGGCAGGGGGCGCACATGTGCCCACGGACACGGGGGAAATCTCAGAGCATTGGTGTCCCAGCTGCAGGGTCCGCAGGGTGGCCTCTGGTTACGGTTCAGGAGGGATTGCTGTTGGCCATGTGCTTTGCTCTTTGCTGCAGAGCAGATGTTTTGTTCTGTTTTGACTGCCAGTGTCCTGGTAAGACTTTCACTTTTTAATTTTCGTGGTTTTATTGAGATGCAATCCACACACCACACACTTTGTCTATTTACAGTCAGGGCGTTAGGAGCCCAGTCCCCCCCAAAGTGGAAAATCCACTTCTGACTCCCTCAAAACTTAAGTGCTAACAGCCTCCCGTTGCCCAGGAGCCTTACCGGTAACACAGTCGCTTATCACACATTCTGTATGTTCTGTGTATTACACCCTGTCTTCTAAGAAGAAAGTAAGCTAGAGAACAGAAAATGTTATTTTTATCTTTTAATTTTTTTTTTTTCTTATAGAGAGAGGGCGAGTTGGGGGGGGTGCAGAGCTGGAGGGAGAGAGAATCCCAAGCTCGATCCCACCAACCTTGAGATGTGACTTAGGCCGAAATCAAGGGTAGGATGCTTAACCGGCTAAGCCATGCAGGCGCCCCGGAAATTGTTATTAAGCAAATCACAGGGAAGAGAAAACACATTCCCAGTGCTGTGCTGGGTGTATGGGAGAAGCTGCACCTGGAAGGGAACCGCGCATCACACACTGGAGCGGCGGGAGGGTTGGCTGCACGCATGATGACGGTTCCAGCAGAGGCACGGGGTCCTGAAGCCACTGCCGCAATCTCAGATCCTCGCCCTCCCTGCGCCGTCCCTCAGTGACACCAATCCGCTTTCCGGCTCCACGGCTGGTCCAGCAGCGCGTTCCCACAAGTGGAATTGCCGGGTGGGGGCATCTCAGCGCCACGAAGTCAAGGCCAAGCCTTGTCCCCCACTCTCCTGCCTGTGGCGGCCCGCCCCCTTCCTCCCTCCCACACCAGCACAGGGAGCCCCCCCCCCCCCCCCCCCCCCCCCCCCCCCCCCCCCCTGTTCCAGAAGCCCAGGGTGCTCTGCAGCCAATCAGGTTTCCTCCTGAGCTGCTGTGCTTGTTTCCTCCATTCCAGGGACCTGGTTCTTCTCTGGGAAGCATCTTGTTCGGGCACATTTGTTGTTGTGGTTCATTTCTCGGTCTCGATGTCTACCACCTCATCCTTATTTTCTTCTCTCTGCTCCCTCTGTCCCCTTCATCATCGAGGCTTCGGCGTACCTAGTATGGCTTTATTTAATGCACAGCACCTAAAACTGTAGCTACTGCGTCCTGGTTTTCTTTCCTTCACCCATGCTCATCTCAGACGCTCCTGGATGCTCAGGAGCGAGGAGTGTCCTGCCTCACTCAGCCTGTTTTCTTCCCTCTGATCTCCTCTCCCCCCCCTTTCCCTCCCCACCTCATGGCCCTCCCCTCTCCCTCCCCTTCTTCTCCCTCCCCTCCCCCTCACTTCTCCCACACTGTTTTCTGTTCGGCTTCTTTTATTTACCAAAAGATATACTTGTCTACTCCATTTGAAAATGGCAAGCATATTTTCTCCTGCATAAGATGCTTTTAATTTCTGCCCTATATACCTTTCAGACGCTCCCACTTGTTCTAAGTCTTTCTGGTAAAATTCCATGGCCTTTGCATCAGAGCTTCTTCCTCATAGAGCCTCATCCTTGAATAGGACAGGCTTTGTTGAGACCTGGCACTCCAGCGCTTTCTGAACTGCCGTAGGCCCCTTCCCCTCCCCCCCACCCCCAAGGCCCGCAGCCAGTGCCGGGAGGGCCTGCCCAGGTCCAAGGCCAGCAGGGGCATCCAGCAGGTGCTCCGCTGAGAACCGGGCTCTTCTCTTCCCACTGTTCTCCCTGCGCCTTGATGCTCAACACAGAGGGACAAGGCAGACGGTCTGAGGGTCGCAGACCAGTGACGCAAGGCCCCAGCCCAGCCCCCTTTCACACTTGATGATGGGGCTTAAGCGGTTGGAAGTGGAAAAAAGAGGAGAGGAGCCAGGGAGCAGGATGCACGGATGAGGAGGCGGGCGCCGGGGACAGCAGCCCGCGGGAGGGAATGGGCGGCCCTGCGGCACGGTCAGCGCCCGGCCCCCTGACCCAGGAGCGGGGGCTGCTGGTCTCCTGGGGCCTGTTGGTCCCACAGTTCACAGTTTCCCCACATTCCAGCCATAATGTGATGGTACTGTGTGTCCTGTGCTGCTGAGGCATTCTTCTGTTGATTCTGGTGAGACCCTTCACTGGTGCCCGTTGAAGCCCCCGTTTTTTTGTTTTTTGTTTTTTAAATGTTTATTTTTGAGAGAGAGAGAGTGCGTGTGAGCAGGGGAGGGACAGAGAGAGAGGGAGACACAGAATCTGAAGCAGCTCCGGGCTCCAAGCTGTCAGCACAGAGCCTGATGCGGGGCTCGAACCCACAGACCCGGAGATCAGGACCTGAGCCCAAGTCGGATGCCTGACCCACTGAGCCCCCCAGGCACCCCTGGAGCCCCAGTTCTACCTTTTATGCTCATCAGTTTATAGATCACATAGGAAAAACTTCACTTTTTTTTAATGTTTATTTTTGACAGAACGCCTGTGGGGGGAGGGGGAGGGGAAAGAGGTGACAGAGAATCGAAGCGGGCTCCGTGCAGACAGCAGCGGGCCCAGTGTGGGGTTTGAACTCACAAATGGCGGGATCATGACCGGAGCTGAAGTCAGACGCTTAACTGACCGAGCCACCCCCGTGCCCCTGAACTTCATCTTTCTTAAAAACGCTGGCCCGTGGAAGGGTCGCCTGTAGACAGTACTTAGACCATGCCGAATGTGTCCTGTAGAGAGGCAAGTCTTTCACAGCAATGTGACCATTACCTGAATTTCTTACCATCGTACGTGAAAGGCAGGAGTCAAGCTGGTCTCTTTAAAGTGGTTCGTGGCAGGATCCCCTAATGCTGGCCTTGCATGGTGCTCAGCTCGAGTTTGAGTCCTCAGGCACCTGAGCACGGCCCCCCTCTCTTTCCATCTCTCCAGGGCTCCAACAAGCTGAATGAAGCTCTTCTGGAAAGAATAAACAGTACCAAAAAAATTCACTTGGTGCCCTGTCACCTGAGGGGCAAGTTCGTGCTTCGCTTTGCCATCTGCTCCCGCACCGTGCAGTCTGCCCACGTGCGGCTGGCCTGGGACCACATCAGCCAGCTGGCCAGCGACCTGCTGGATGCAGAGAAGGAATAGAAGCCCAGCCCCAGGTAAGCTGCCCGCCCGGCCCCAACACTCAACTCTGCTGGGCCCGGACTTCCTCCAGGGCAAGAAGAGGCAGGACCCTCAGGCTGGAAGATTCCTTAGGGACTTAGACACATTCTTCCCACTTTGTATTCTTTTATGTGAGACTGTCAACCCCACATCTCTGTCGTTTCCCTTCAGATGTCTTCTGTGCATACAGACGCAGCTTACTAGCATAACGAGCTTCTAGATTAACCTGGCAAACTGGATAAAGGAAAATGAAAGAGAAAATCACAAAGAGAATTTGACGCAACTGAGGATTTATGTTCCTCTTTCTCTCTCTTTGTCCTCACTGCCCCATTAACTGTTTATCATAACCCACGGGGGATGTAATACAGTTTTACCTTGTTCGCTCCCTCCTTTTTAAAATGTTTTTTATTTCTGAGAGACAGAGAGCATAAGCGGGAAAGGGGCAGAGAGAAAGGGAGACACAGAATCAGAAGCAGGCTCCAAGCTCTGAGCTGAGCCTGATGCAGCGCTTAAACCCACGAACTGCAAGACCATGACCTGAGCCGAAGACAGACGCTTAACCGACTGAGCCACCCAGGTGCCCTTTACTTTGTTCACTATTAATCTTGACTGTGAATACCTGAACGAGTGCTCCAGAAATTGAACGTTAAAAATTGCATTTCATTTACGCAAGAGGTCGATCCAGGGCTCCTGCCCATGATGTCAGAGAGGCTCCTTTCCTTGTTCAAATCCTGTACAGAAAGACCAGATCCTTTTCCTGGTGCGACAAGGACCTTTCTTAAAGGGGCCGCCCTGCCTGTAGCAACTCTAGAGGTATAGTTTGAGCACCTCTGGAAGGTGCTGGGAGAGATCACAGTTCCACGTATTTCCAGTCTTCTTAGATAAGGATGTGCATCGGGGCGCCTGGATGGCTCAGTCATGTAAGTGTCCAACTCTTGATTTCGGCTCAGGTCATGATCTCACGGTTCAGGAGTTTGAGCCCCGAGTCAGGCTGGACACTGACAGCGCAGAGCCTGCTTAGGATTCTCTCTCTCTCCCCCTCTCTCTTTGCAACCCCTTCAAAAATAAATAATAAACTTAAAAAAAAAAAAAAGAGTGGGGGGTGGGTGAAGGGGGTGCATAACTGCTGTTAAATACAAAAGGAAACTGTACCAGGCAGACCCTTCTGATTAACCTTTCCACAGCCCTGTGTCTGCACAAATCTCATCAGGGTGTAGCATGTCAGGATTCTGCTCCCGTGTGCCCACAACAACGCAGAGAGAGGCTGCCACCCTAAAAAATCAGCAAATTTACATTTCTGACAGAAGTCACAATTACTGTGAAGCTATACATGTTATCAATCCAAAAGGCACAAATGGGGTTTTTTTAAAAAAATGTTTTTATTTATTTTTGAGAGACAGAGACACAGCATGAGCAGGGGAGGGTCAGAGAGAGAGGGAGACACAGAATCGGAAGCAGAGCCCAACGCGGGGCTTGAACCCATGAACTGTGAGATCATGACCTGGGCCGAAGTTGGACGCTTAACAGACTGAGCCACCCAGGCGCCCTGGGATTTTTTTTTTTTTTAAATATAGGACACACCAGGGGTGTCTGGGTGGCTCAGTCAGTTGAGCGTCCGACTTTGACTCGGGTTGTGATCTCATGGTTTGTGGGTTTGTGAGTTCAAGCCCTGCGTTGGGCTCTGTGCTGACAGCTCAGAGTCTGGAGCCTGCTTCCAGTTCTGTGTCTCCCTCTTTCTCGCTCTCAAAAATATGACACAATAGTGACTCATAACACATGGACATTCAGGGGCCAGGTTAATTAGAGCCATTAGAGTCTGAATATACGGGCTGTACTTGGGCTCCCTTAAGACAGTCACATAAAATCCACATGGTCAAAATTCTAAGGGGAAGAAGGAGCTATTTTGATTTCGTGGAGGACACTGGACAGATTCTGGCTGGCACTGATGGGATGTGCCACAGAGAAGCCAGGCTGGGCATTCAGTCTCATCTCTGACAATTTATATTCATCTGCATTACAGGTTCCCTCCAGCTCACTGGAGAAATGGCACATTCCTTCTCTGTGTTCTGGACAAGCATACGAGATACCGATTCTTCCATTTTTTTTAAGGTAGCCATATGTTCATGTCATTTTTTCCCCCCTGTAGAGATCAAAAGCTGAAAGGAAGTATACCTGAACACTGTGGAAAGAGAAGATATGGCCCATATGCCTGTATGTGGCCTCATGTTTTCTTCTCTGAAGTTCTCCAGAAGCTTGTGATTCTGTCTGCTCACTGTCTCATCAATGAAGAAACCTTAGTTGCTCTGTGAAAAGTTAATCCAGTGGATATAGCTTTTGTTCATTATTTGTCTGTGACTTTTGTTGATTAAAAAATCATAGGTTTTCATGCTCTTGAAGAGGTCAGAGGTAGGAGAGGCTTATTGAAATACTTTCCAGGGCACTCAAGGATCATGGGACTTGAGATTATACCTGTGGCCTTTAAATTGTTCTGACACAGGGCTCAATGATTAATAAACAATTTGAAGTGTGGTGGCCATCGTGTCTGCTAATAAGCATTCTTTGGTTGCGCGCTGTACCAAATTGATTGCTGTGATATGGACTTAACCTTTCAAAACAGCCAAAGATATGGTATCCCTGGATTTTTTTAAGTGGTACTCATAGTCTTCACTCAACAAATATTCATGGAGTGCCTAGTTTACATCAGGCACTGGATGCATTAACAACATACAGGTTTTACTTGGAGATGACCTCCAACTCTTGAAGAAATAAATTCCACAGTCCAGGTACTACTGGCATGATGGGAAAGACTGACTTCCAGGGCCTTCGGTTTCCTCATCTCATCAGTCCATCTGTCCTGTCGTATTGCGGCTGATAAACAACCAGAGTGACCGGGCCCCCAGGAGGCTCAGTCGGGTAAGCCTCTGACTGCGGCTCAGGTCATGATCTCACGGTTAGTGGGTTCGAGCCCCAAGTCAGGCTCTGTGCTGACAGCTCAGAGCCTGGAGCCTGTTTCAGATTCTGTGTCTCCCTCTCTCTCTGACCCTCCCCTGCTCACACTGTCTCTCTCCCTCAGAAATAAATAAAACATTAAAAAAGATTTTTAAAGAAAAGAAATCTGGAAATATATCAGATGCCATGGAATTGCCAGCTCATGGGGTCAGGTCATTCTTTCTCCACCCATCCGTGAACACTCACAGCCTGTGATCGGCCCAGGCACTGACCTGATTAATACTTATTTTAAAATTCTCAGCTATTATTCCCATGTTACAGATGGGAAAACTAGGTTTTCTCGAGAGGGTTAGTGGCCTGTCCCAAAGCCCTGCTGTTAGTTGGTGGCCGAGCCAGGACTGGAACTCAGGCAGTCTGTCTCTAGACTCCACACCTCTGCCCACTTAACTGTGTTGCCGAATGCGCCATCTGCTCTCCAGGATGAACCATTTCTCAAGATAACTGGCAGTGAGGACATTCATTCCCTTCTAGGGAAAGCTCATTTTCACCTCCCAGGTAGTCTTGGGATCCCAACCTGACGATCCCCCAACGGTCCCCTAGCTGATAAAGGTCTGGGATATTCAGCCAAATCTTTGGTTAACATAGAGCATCTTTATGTACATTTATGTTCAGTTTGGCGTCACGACACACCACGCTGCCGGTGCTGGAACTCCATGAGAACCCTGTGCCTTCTGGCATCTGAGAACGGCACCTCCTGGAGAGTGCGGGGAAAGCCCAGCCAGGTCTGGACACAACTGAATCCTGACACCCAAACTGTATTTAGTCACAATACTTATGACACCAAATGAGACCTCACCCCCCTGGTACCAAACAGGGGTATCTCTTCCAACACCAGCGCTCCAACTCTGACACTATGTAGCTGGAGTTAAGTGTCAGCTCCCATAGTTAAGGGCTCAGAACCACAAGACTGCCCTCTGTCTCAGAGGCCAGTCACAGTCCCGGGCCTCCCGGACTTCTGACCGACCGGCTATAGAGCGGGGGTTCCCATAACCTCCGCTTTGGTTCAATACTTTGCTAAAAGAGTTCACAGACTCAGGATGTCATTTCACTCGTGTTTACCACTTTATAATAAAGGACACAGCTCAGGATCAACAAGGCAGAAGAGCTGCACAGGGCAGGGGAAGGGGAAAGGGGGATAGAGCTTCCCAGAAGAAAGCCCTGTGAGAATAAGTTGCTTGCGTAAACTGGAGAAATCTGGAACTACTATTTTAGAGAAACTTGTGTGTGGTTCTGCAAAGCAGAGATGTGAAATCGATGGTCGAGGGAAGAGAGAAGAGGAAGAAACAGAGGAGGCTCACTTATAGGAGACCACGTGAGTCCAACAGTGTCCAGATTGCAGACCCCGGACCTTGCCATTTATGCTGATGGCCCCCGGTGCCATCAGAGAGAAACTGAGTCGCGTGAGGAGGGTTATGAAAGGAAGCCTTATGCAGGGGGAAAGACTCGGAGAGGACCTGGTGACCGTCTTCAAATGCACGCTCACTTTAGCGCGAAGAGTCTTTGTGCCTCTGGATTGACAGAGGGAGGCAGATTTGGGTTCATTCAATGTGGAGAACCCAAAAGTCAGCCTTTCAGCATCCAGAACATGCCTCCTCATGGGGCAGTGAGTTCTCCACCTCTGTGGGGGGTTCAAGTGAAGACAGGACAACTAAGGGCTGAGAGATAGTAAAGGAAACTTCTCTATGGGACACAAAACCTGAAGACCTCTGAGCCCTCTTCTACATCTGAGGTTCAAGAATCTATGGAAACAAGAGAAACTGGGCTGATTTATTAAAGAGCAAGATTAAGGAGCACAAAAAATTGGAAGCACCCCAGCCCGGAAGGGTTGTTCTTCAGGGGCAAGCTCTATCCTGGGCAGCCTGCGTTGCCCGACCAGAATAGTGCCCAGCACATGGGCAGCACTTACTGGGGCCACTCTGGTCTAAAGGCTCTTCAATTATCAACTGGGTTTATCTTGTGTGTAGCGGAGCTGGGATTTGCACTCTGGAAAGCTGACTCCATGGGGCCATGCTCTTAATTACCCATCACCCTACCGCTATGATCGTAAGAATACAGTTTATTCCTTTCCTAGGACAGTTGGATCATTAAGTAGGAATCTAAAGGCAAGAGAAATTTATTCTGAGTTCGGGGGGCCGGAATCCCAAAATGAAGGGCCACACTGTCTCCACAGCCTCTAGCCGAGGGTCCCTCCATGCCTCTCCAGCTTCTGGTGGCCTCCAATGCTCCTTGGCTTATGAGTGAATTACTCCAATCTCCATTTCCCCTCCGTACACCTCTTCTTTATAAGGCATCATTCACATTGGATGAAGGCCCACCCTCATCCAGTATGACCTCACATTAACTCGACTGCGTCTGCAAAGACCCTGGGTCCCCAAACCATCGCATTCCCTGACCCGTGAGGTGAGGGCTCCAATTCGTCTTTCGGGGCTACGATTCGGCACACAACCTGCGGTATCAGACAAGAGGCACCTACGAGTGCTGACTTAGGTCGGCCGTGAGGTTCAGAAGAAAAATGGCCAAAGCAGATGGTCTCTTACGGCCCTGCCTGCCCCCTAGCTAGCTCCGTTTACTGTGGCAATGCCACAGGAGCCTGTGATCCGGCCTGTGTGGCCCATGAAAGCCCTTTCTGGAACTGTGCCTGGCATTCTGTCTGGGTCCACACCAGCCTTTCGTTTCTGGTGGAGGGCAGGAATACTTCCCTGTCACTGAGCTAGGGGGCCACAAGGCTCGACGTTTGTCAGAATCCAGCCACCCTTGGGAACCTCCCCATGAAGGAACTGAGTTAAGATTTGGTGGTTCGACCTGACTCTTGTCCTATCTGCTTCCTAGTCTCAGATCACGCACCTCCCTATCACCTCCCCCCTACACTGACAAACACACCTCTTTTCAACTCAGAGAGTAACTTTCCTGGCACACAGGGATGCACATTATTTGGGGCCATATTCTCCTGCAGCTCAAGAGCAAATGAGATCACTGAAGTGTACAAGGGCGTTTATTGGAAGCCGTGTTTATAATATTCATGAATATGGAAATAAGTGGCCACCTCCCAGAATCCCTCACACAAAGAACTGGTACTCAGTTTGTGGTGGAAATCGCTTCCTTTGCGGGTTCAGAAAATTCTACCCAGGAGAAGAAAGGACATAGTCTATGATCTTAAAGGGAGAGTTTACCTGCAGAGCTCACGTAGCAAACTCTTCCATGTGCTAAAGTATTTGACAGTATTCTAAAATATCCCAGTTGTAAAAGATGAAATGTCTCGATGGGGCGTAAAGGCTTGAATTCCAATAATAGCGTTAATTTAGCAATAAATACAACACAGCATCACAGCGTCTGTTGAAATGTGCCAGCTGCTGCTCTGATAATTTATGAGATCTCCTATTAATTGCAATCCTTGGAAAAGCTTCCTGAGTTAGAGTTTATTCCCCTTTCATCGATGAGGAGGAGAGTACTGAAGTGTGCAGGAAGAAGGAAACTGCTGGACTGGGACATATTTTTGTATCGAAAGGCACAAACGTGTAGCAGGAATGCCAGCTGTAGCTTGTTGAAAAACAGTTAGCTCTAGCGACCATAAATGTTAATTTGGTATTTCAACAAAAGACTCTTAGGAGGGAAAGACAGTGGTTTCTGGGAATTCTCCAAATGCTACCATTAAAATATCAGTGATGAAAGTCACCAAAAATTGCCAATTACCCTAAGAGCATTTAGATGGCGAGCTCTATATACAAGTAGAAAAACAGGTAGTAAATATACAACTGACTCAGCCTGCTGATAACAGTTTTCATTTCTTTTTCTTGTATACATTTTGGGTAATTAGGATAATTAGAAGATTAGCGAAGAAATTATGAACAATTCGAATAAAAAAGTCTTTCATTACTGTTTAAGCCAAGAAATGAGTTGTGAGCTGCTCCCATTGTGACTCTTGCCTATTTAAAAATATCTCCTTTTATTCTGTGCCCATTTAAAAAACTGTTAACAGTCTTCGAAAATTGTTTTGCCTCCCCTCCTACACTGTTGGTGGGAATGTAAACTGGTGCAGCCCCTCTGGAAAAGTGTGGAGGTTCCTCAGGAAACTAACAATAGAACTCCCCTAGGACCCAGCAATAGCACTGCTAGGAATTTACCCAAGGGATACAGAAATGCTGAGGCATAGGAGCACGTGTACCCCAATGTTCATAGCAGCACTCTCCACAATAGCTAAAACATGGAAAGAGCCTAAGTGTCCATCAAAAGAAGAATGGATCAAGAAGATGTGGTTTATCTAAACCATGGAATACTACATGGCAATGAGAAAGAATGAAATCTGGCCATGTGTAGCAACATGGATGGACCTTGAGGGTGTTATGCTGAGCGAAATAAGTCAGGCAGAGAAGGACA